ATAGCTACCATTGAAATCAACAACTCTCTCGTTCAATCAGATCTAAGAAATCTGACCACAATCAGCGATGACAACAGGCTTGGAAGTCCTTCCACTGTCAGATCCAACCTTCTCAATGTTCCTAACAACATCCATCCCTTCAACAACTTGACCAAACACAACGTGCTTACCATCGAGCCACGACGTCTTCTCAGTACAGATGAAAAACTGAGATCCGTTGGTATGCGCACCAGCGTTAGCCATGGACAGAATACCTGGACCGGTATGCTTCTTGATGAAGTTCTCGTCCTTAAACTTAGCCCCGTAGATCGATTCACCTCCTGTTCCGTTCCCGGCGGTGAAATCTCCTCCTTGGCACATGAATTTAGGGATCACACGGTGGAAGCTCGATCCCTTGTAGTGAAGTGGCTTGCCGGACTTTCCGATTCCTCTCTCGCCGGTACAAAGGGCACGGAAATTCTCAGCCGTCTCTGGTGTGGTATCGGCGTAAAGCTCCATCACGATCCTACCGGCGGAAACACCCCCGACGGACATATCGAAGAAAACTTTAGGGTTAACCATTCTCGGAGATTTTTTAGATCGGAGGAAATTTGTTTGTGTGAGAGATTAGGGTTTTGCACGATTTTTGGCTACAGGTTACAAGAAGGGATTCATATAGGGAGAGGATCTGAATAATGAAAAGGAAAGATTTTATTGACCGCTGATTTGTACACGTGTATGAATCTGAAAGGTTTTAGGTTAACTGTGGTTAGGTTAAAAGCTGACTATGGTTAAAAGTTGCGTGGATCCGAGGCTGAGAATATTATTATTGTATTTTCTTCTACCTTTTTACTGCATAGAAATCATAGATGATGGGTCAATGAATCGTGGATGAGGTTAAACGACATCGTCTCATAGAGTAAGTAAAGCCCAAGAATAATTAGGCCCAATATGGAAGTAAAAGCCCAATAATTATGTTAAAAATCTTTTCCGGCTATTACAACATCATTATGATTCTTCGGAATCAATTCTCTAACTACAATCGACAATCCCGCATCTTTCGTCATCGTAACATGAAATTGAAATTCTCCGTTACAGATGTTGTAGAGAAATCATTTAGCGATGTCTTGCGATGAATTATAGTTTTCAAAATAAATTATGATGAAAATTACTTTTGGTTTAGCATTATTTATAATTTAACCAAATAAATCTTTACTTAAAAAAAAAAATTCGATTATTGGTTTCTAGAGAAAAAGTAAATTCCTTTAAGCTACATCAAAAATTATTTGGTATTTAGATCAGTTATTTTCGATTTGATTTTGTCCAAAATATATATCTTAAGCTATGCGAGCTGAGTGTTATTTCTCTTTAAGATACCATCCTATTTGGACTAGCTACCACAATAAGAATACACAATGATAAAATTTTATCTTAATGAAAATTAATGGTTCCCATTTATTTATTAAGAAAAAATATAATTGGTGGTAAACTATGTTTATTCATTAAAAATATATTTATCCAAAAATGAAATGTGATTTTCCAAAACTACAAATAAAAAAACAATTTTTTATTTTATTTTGTCAAACAAACAAATACAATCTATTTTACGTTTTTCTATACAATTATACATTCTCATATTTTTTCTTCGTCCTTTTCTTTGTTTATAAGTTATCAATAATAAAATCATCAATCCTTCATTATGTAAAAGGATCTAGAAGATCCAAGATATTATTACTAAATATATTGTATTTATTATATAGATTTGTATCTATCATAATTTAGGAAATCTCTTCTTTATATAAACATATGTAATCTCTACGTTATTGTTCATGAGAGTAAATATAATCGTCTTCCAATCCTAAACTCTCATCACATTTAATATGGTATCAGAGGTTATGCTCGAGTTTAGATCTAATGATCAAACTCTGTTTTTCTTATTGGTCCAATTCTTAAGCTTACATGCTTTGAAAATTTTAATTTTTTGTTTTTATCAAGCCATAGTGCTTCTTCAAGCCATATAGTTCCTTCAAGCCATAGTGTTTCTTCAAGCCATAGAGCTTCAATCCATAGAGATTACATATGTTTATATAGAGAAGAGATTTCCTAAATTATGATAGATACAAATCTATATAATAAATACAATATATTTACTAATAATATCTTGGATATTCTAGATCCTTTTACACATTCCTTCTCTTAAAACCATCATCGTTAACAAAATGCATGTTAAAAAATAAAATGGGAATAACATTCGTTGGTTTGATATCATGCGAATCACAAATCGTATGGATATCAAATGAACGTAGTATGAGTAAGGGGTGGTTTTACGTCATCCAATGAAGGGTTGACACATAAGATTAGCTTGCGTGTATCAACCCTCGACTAAGAATGACCTCAACAAGCTCCAAGATGTCTACGACAAGACATACATGCCTCGAATGTGTCAGGTGGGTTAGGTACGTATCAAACCTTACATGTCGCCACACGAAATCAGTAACTCAGTTACTTTTTTTTGTTCCTTGGTCGTATCTTACTTCTACCGTTCTTTTTTCTTAGTCTGGCTCGATTGGAAGTTCTCACTTTGAACTTCTTTTTTTTCATCCTTTCGATTCATATCCATTTCTATCCGAAGAATGAATAAATCTTTGGTAATTTCTCAAAACTATATTTATTATGAACATGGATTAATCTCAAGCAATTCACATATACACATATTTAGCTGTTAAGATTCCAATCATCTATTAGTACAATGTTTAGTTTTACCTTTCTCTAACAAGTGGAGCCAATGATTTAGGAGTAGTGTATTTGGATATCCAAAGACACTACTCCTAAATCATTGGCTTCATATATGTTGCGTTTTGTTATATGAAATAAGCAATATTGGATTCTAGGGGTCCTATAAAGATGTACGCTAATATCCACAAAGTATTTGGGCATCTCACTAAAGTTCATCTGAAAAATGCAAGAATAGTCATTATCTTGGCTTAAAATTGGAACTGATATTGCTCCTTTTGGGTATATACAAGCTCATTCATTTTAGCACTTTAATTGGATGATGATATTCACTTTTTTGTCATTGTAATGAAATTATTTTTATCAGGTTTCTCAGATAAAAATGAGAGAGAACCACGTCTTATCTAAATCTAGGATACCGAAAGCCAGCGAGAAGAAGGCATCAAAGAAGCCTATGGTGGCAAAAAATGAGAACAATAGGTCAAGAAATTTTCATACATGAAAAGAAAAGTGGAAACGTAAGGTGCTAATAGAACAATAAAAAAACAATCGACAAAAAAACA